TGCTCGTCGACGAGCTGGTTAGCCGCAACTGTGATGTCAATGGGCGACCGCTGCTCATTTGTGACCGTCGTAGGCAGTGCAGGGAATTCGTCGAGCTGCTGCCCTTCCGCAATCGCAGCATTGCACATCCGGGTGAGTGGCGACGAGGGCGTCTGGGCCGTCCTTGCACGTGCAGGTGAAACGCCAATGTCGGTGGTCTCCACGGGGGAGCTGTCTCGGAGGAGGGCTGCGCGGGCACCTCGAGCTAAGTTCTTGGGTGTGTAGATGCCGAGATCAAATGGATCCGGCTCGTATGGCGGGCTGGGGGTGGCCGTTGCCATCGCCGCCGCCGAGGCTGCGCAACGCGCAGAAAAACGAAGTTTTGGAGTAGTGTTAAGCAAATTGGTGTAATTTAGTCTACTTTCTTAACAATTCCATGCCAAGAAAGTAATAATACAGGGGGAAGTGATTTGATTTAGAGATATTGCAGATTCACGGTGGAAATTTAGGGTAGGTAGGTAGCCGGCTTGATGGAGCGACCAGGGACCCCACTATCTCCATGCAATGGCCAATTATATCAATTGAAAAGGAAATGATACCCCTGTCGGCGTGGTAAGCCAATGACTGTATATTCTTAAGTGGAGAAGGGTCTTTTTTTTGGGGACAATTCTTCACGATAAAGATAACATAAGATAAGACACAACTCGGCATGCGACAACCTGTACGTGGCACCGACGCGACATCTAGTTCCTCTTGCAATCGAACGCTGGCCAGATAAGCAGCTGAATATACCCTTTGAAGCCGCTCCCTATATGCTTTGCGTGTGAAGTGTTTAACCAAAGGGCAACCGCTCAGAATACGGCGTTCAGTTGTCGAGGAGGCAGTGTCAACCACGAGACGGTTCATGAAAAATTGAACAATGCCTCGTCGCGCGGTCTCAGTCGAGGAAAGGAGAACACGCAAACGGGATCGTGCCCGTAAACTTCGGCTCCGGCAGCGACAAGAACGACTGGTTCAATACGAGCTTGAGTGCATGCAATACTCCTCCACTGTCCGGCTCATCGCTCAGACAGTTGATCCGCCGCCAGCTGTCCCAGCGGCGATGGCATCTGCTCCTGGTTAGGTCGCTCTGGAATGCCCCAGATACCCCGACTATATCCAAACGTGTCTGACATTATAAGTACCCCTTGGTTCAACACCGGCGCAAGGAAGTCTCTGTGAACCGGCCCAGGCCAGGAAGTTGTCGCCACGAAGTCTCGTTTCCAGCGTTGGAGCTACCTTACATCGCAACCATGGGTTTGCCTCCACTACCCATACATCCACTAGAGCTACGTCTGTCGTGACGACGGTGGGTGCTACCGCTTCATCGGCGTGGCTCCCGCCGCTGCCACCATTTTCACAACAACCGTTCCAGGCGACGGGACCGTCCGACAGACGCTGGGGCGTAAGTACGACAGTTCCACGTCTAGAAAATATACGGCAAGCAATGGTGAAGCCGCCGCCCCTGGCACCCAACCAAACACTTTCGCGCTGCCGCCAGCAACATCAATCGTGAAGTCCACCGAATGCACGACATGCATCCATGGAAGGCAGCGAGAGTCCCGTCTCCGCCGATCAGAGCGGAATATCTGCTTTAGACACTGTGGCCCAGATGTCTAGTTTACACCCAGAGCTGCACGCCCTAGCTGAGCAGGCCAAATTCAGTGGAGGGGAAACGCATCCTGCATCTCCATTCTGCTCCACCGTCTCTCCCGAAAGCTTTGGAACTCCCTTCCCGCAACTCTCGAGTCCTATCTTGCAGGACTCCGATGATTGTAATGCTCTGTCGGCCGAGGTGTGGAGAAATCCAGATCAAGCAGCAGGTATTCCTGTGGCATTGCCGCAACACGACTCGGACAACCTCGACTCCCACCTTGGCTGCTTCGTGCAAGCCCTTGAAGCTCAACAGGCCGACAGGAGTTCTGAATCCATTGAGCTATGTAGTCAGACCTTCTTTAACCCCATTTGCAGCTGTAAGTCGACGATTGTGCTCTGGTATTCATTGAACATACAATAATTCGGAGACCTATTGCAGGTGGCAGTCAGGTGGACGAGTCAGAGCACACCCATTCTCTTCGGGAAGCTGTCGAGCATCTGCAGAGCTCGCTTCCTCCTCTTTCGAAGGTCTTCGGCGAAAGCGGCTCCTATATCCCCAGACATTCGTTTCAGCAATGGCAGAGGTTTCTTTCAGAACAGCCAGGCACTCCTCTGTCCTTCCGTAAATCGGAAGGTCCCCTTCCTCAACGGCAAATCTCTATATCGCGACAGTGGGATATTGATAGTGTTTGGCTAGGGGCGAAAGGTCTGCAGGCGATTCGCCCGCCTAACGACTTCCGACTGTCCTTCCTGCCCTCTCCGGTGCTCAATCTTTCCACTGAACAGGTGATCCAACCACATGGCTTGAATCTAGCCAAGACAAGACACATTCTCCTCGGCACATTCAGCACGCACTGTGTCCGGTTTTCTGCCTTTGTCTTTTCCCCCAACGCTGCTCGCTGCTCTAGTTCGAAGAGTATCAAGAATGCGCTTTCTCTTGAGCGGCAGAAAGACCTCTACGACCACATCATCATTCCGGCGGCGAACGAAGCCATACAGGATCCTTCCCTGCAGGAAATACCTCGAACGTATGAGATTGCGTACGCCAAGTCTCGATCTTACCAGGAGAAGCCCGGCAATGCCCGACGCTGCGGAGAAGATGTCAGCCGATCCTATCACCTCCAGTACGTGGTCCCTGCCCGGTATCTCCTTGCGTTTTGGCAGTCAATCGCCAGAAAGGCGGGGCTATTCCGGCTGCAAACACAACAGGGAAGCACGGTGGCATATTTCAAGGACCCCCAATTGCTCTTCCAGTCGCACTACCTGAAAAACACCTTCGGCCGCGCGACGCTGGAAGATTCCCTGAACGCCTTCCAAGAAATTGTCCTACAGTGTTTCGACCCCACGCACTTGGACATTCACTCTGCTGGCTCCACATTGGAGCAAGAGACAATGTGACCAGCCCATCACCCCATGGCTGCCCAGGCTCAGAGCCCTACACGCTGTTGTGGAAGAGTCAGTGCCATCGTCATCTACACCAGCAGCTGTGCCGGGTTACTCCTGATGCCGCCCTTGACGCCACCTATTTTCGCGGCTTTCTCCTCCGGGATGTTGGCGACTACCAATCCAAAGCCAGCACTCGTCGTGTCTCGAATCCAGGACGAGCGCATCAAGCGCCTCCCGGTATCATTCGTGCAAAGGCATACAGTTGCAACAAAGAACTCGTTTCAGTCATGTTCAGCAACTACAATCTCTTCGGATCAGGAACCGTCTCGCTCCTTGCTCTCAACGAAACAATGATCGAGGGTCTCTCATCAACTTCCCAAGAAGGCCTGCTCGCTCCCATGACCCAGCCAAGCCGCGATTCCCTGTTCAGCGCCTGGGAGGCAAATAAGCGTCATGTGCTGGCCATCTCCGAGCCACGGGACCTGGTCAGCTATGGCGTCCGGAAAGAGATGACTTTTCGCTTTGGCTCGATACTCATGATGTGGAATCGTGGCTATTTTGATCCCAGTCGAAGCCCCCATGTAGGAAATCTCACTTGGAGCGTGCCTCTTTACCTCTGCCTCTGACGGGACAGAACATTACCCCTTCCGGACAGTCCCCACCAGGGATATGAATTCTTTCCTATTCACTCAGGCGTCGCGTTTCATTGTTCCCCTAGATCACTTATTCCATGAAGCTGCCCTCCACACCGGCAGCTCGCCTCAATCAACCCTTGCCTTCTACACTGCCCAACTCCTCTGCCGTCTTCTCAAGGACAGCCTCAACTCGGAACAGCAGTTCAACTACGACAACTGGATTTGGCTTTCGAAATGGAGAGTACAGAATCGAGAGGCTCGTCATAGAGGCTCATTGCTAGAGCGGCAAGGCCTTGGTCTCGATGCCACGGTTGGAAATTTCGGTATGCTCTGGATTCCGCGGCATTGCATGGACTGGCGTGATGGGCATATTGCGCTCGGGTCTCTGGTTCAGCTCTACATCCCTCGCACGCCAGGCCTGGCACGCATCATCAATCAGACGAGTGTGCAGTCATTCACAACATCAATGGTCTCAGTGGAGCTTTGCGCGCGGCATTGGCTGCAGGAGGCTCGGCACGAATTCGGTCGTGGGCGACGCTGTAGAGCCGAGGAACTAGTTGAGAATGTCATCTGGTTATCCGTCGAAGAAGTGGCTCGGTCATACCAGCTCCACCTGCTCTCAAAGCTGCGCGTGTATTGGAATCGTGTCTTTTCTTACGATGTGCTCAAAGTAACCCCACCTCTTCGACACCTGGAGCAGGCACGAGACGAATTGGCAGTCACTACTGGACAGATCGTGACAGCTCAGACCGTCTTGGGTATCTACGACGAAGCTTGGGCTGTGTATTGGCGTGTGCATCCGGATGGCAAATCTGAACAGATGCCAAGGGAAATACCCTGTTGGATGGGAACGCGAAAGCACGTCCCGCCCAAGGATGGTTGGTCCGACTTCATCTTCCGGCATCCCTTTGACCGGCCAAGCCCGCCGACATGGAACGGCCACGAGTTCCTAGGGTTGTATCGGAAGTTCAAAGAGATATGGGAACCAATCCGCGAATATGCTGGTCCGTTCGATCACCGTTTTTGCCGCATGATCGGAAGATACATCTTAGTTAGCTTCAATAGTGACCAGGGCAAGGAAATGGGTACGAATCGTACCTTGGGAAGTTGGTACGAGAACAAGCCAGCCTTCTTCCGCATCCAATTCTGGGCACCCTACCTTGACCCGCCAGAGAACAGCAAGAGCCGTTCCTGGAGTTCGGTCGATGACCATAGGCGCCTAGATACAGATATTCCACCATCTTCCATTTCTAGAACCATCGTCGGCGAAGATTTTCAACGTAGTTCTAATGAATTCAACAAGATGTGGTCAAAAGTCATATACCACCAGGACCGCTGGGAGAGATGAGCCCCAAGGCGAGGAATCAGACTTGTCGGCGGGCCATGCAAAGCCTGGTTGATGTCACGGGGCCTCAGTGGCTCCTTGGTGGCGGATTGGTATATATCTTGCCCTGGAATTTCCAAAGTACGGAAATGAGGGATGACGGGCACGATGGTCCCTTCCGCGTTCCCGTCTCGGCGGCGGCCAGCAAGTTCGCCTGTAAACCCCGGCGACCCACAGTGTTGTTGCCGTCTCGTCACAATGCTATGGCTCTACTTGATGCTATCCAGTCCCTTCACGGTCTGAGCTACAAGACACTTAGGTTGGCCCGAGATGTCCGCAAGTTGCTGAGCAATGATGGGCAACAATACGACATCCGCTCGCATTTCGCGGCCAGGCAGAAGGCACTAGGGGCCGCAACTCAACCAGGTTCATTGCTGCGGCAATTCCTTAGCCAGAGTGAGCCGCCACAAAAAGAAGTCAACGAGCAGGATGATGCCGGAAACTAGCCAAAGCGAGTTGATGTATGTCCAAGCTACGCAAATTATGACTCTGTTGCTGCCATGATTTTACTCGGCTGTAGAAGGCGTGGGTAAAAGACGGGCCTCAGGCTTGTGCGCTCCTGTAACAGGGAGGACAGCAGGCTGCCAGGAGCTTAGCTGCTTAAAACACATTTACTTGATAGGGCCGTTGAGGGACGCGGGGCTCGAGCACGCACAAAGACGCGCCGATTGTCCACTGAAAGCTGATCAACTGGACTACGTCAGTACCGGAACGTTGAGATGCAGTGTAATGGTCCCAGCAGAGTACATTGACAACTTGCGGAGCGGCTGCTACGGGTATTAAAAGATAAAGAAAGAGGAAACAGAATAAGAAAAGGAGAGCTGAACGAGCTCTAGAGTTCCTGAGCTCGCCGCTGCCAATCTTGCTGGTGGGTCCCAGCCACTATCGCGCTAAGCGTGTTACATGCAGTATTGGGCGCTTTACTTCTCGCTTCGGGAGAGCAACTGCACGATGCGCATGGCTACCCGTCTAAACAGGACTCGGAGGATGCGTCACACGGCTATACAGTCTTTCCCCGGCATGATCCAAAAGACCGTACAGTAGTTCAAATGGGCCAGGTCACAACTTCACAACAATGAGAAGCAGTACAGTATTTGCAGCCGCCTTGAAGCCAAAAGGGGTTACCTCACCCTGTCTCTATCCGTCATATTAGCACGGCTCGATTAACGTGAGTCTTGACCAGTGCCTAACTTATTCGAGTAGTGGTAGGAGTTAGAATTGCTGGACCCGCTACCATAGTCCCTCGCACAGTAGTGATTTCCCTGTAGCAAAACATTCAGCGAACTGTATACGTAAGGGCAAACAAAGATACTAGAGAAAAAAATTGCACTGGGGGGCCAGACCTGGCTGTTGGTGCCAGAACCCTTATAAGAGTAACCAGGCATTTTGCAGTGTATTCAGCGAGTATGGCGACCTGTTGCGATGGGGGAAAGGGGTGGAGGAGAGCGCCGCGTTGTGGAAACTCCACGTCTGCTTTAAATATGTTGGGCAGCAAAATGGGGCAGTTTGAGGACAAGAATCGTATCACACCCTGCCGAATACCAGGCCCAATTATAACAAAGCAAATTTGCCAACCCCCCACTTTATGAATGTGGTTACCCGAAGTCAGAGGGGAGATCTCGATATCTTATCACTATGACTACTCGTGCCACGCCCCACCTAAAGGTGAGGTGGGGCGTGGCACGAGTAACTAATTGTCAGATTGCATCGTGCGAGTGTTGAATAACACTGTGCCCAGTCAGTGGTCACCAACCAAAAACGCCATTCTGAGGGGTAAAGTCTCGGACGAAAGGAAGTAATTGTTATTTAAAGAACCTGCTAGAAGAGAGATCGAAAACAGGAAGAAGGAGGAACAATGAACCATGTTAAAACCCGATAGATGGAATCCCCCGTGACTGGTGCCACCGTATTTCTAACACTAATGCAGCGCTATGGCACCGTACTAGGAGAGAGTGAAATTATTCGGTGTCCGCCTAGAGGGGATCCCGAATACTCACACTAACACCTCATCACGAATCTGGGGTCAATGCAGCGCTAAGGCACTGTAATAGGAGAGTAAAAGTAACCGCATCTATTCAGTGCAGTTTAATCGGTGATTTTACTTAGTTTCGACGCTATACATCCCCATGTATTGTTCTCACACCTGCTCGACTGGCTCTGCTGTGCTAGTGGTCTGTCCGGGCAGGGAAAGGATCCCAAAACTGGTCTCAATCCCCTTCAGCCTCCTCACTCTCCCCTATTCCGCCGGACGCGAACAAAGTGCCAGAAACATGCAGAAGGCAATGGATTAAGACCGTCCCTATAGCAATGCACAGCAGTGATTGCAATTCTACTCCACCATCGTGCGTTCGCTGTTCTCATACATTTTGCACTTTTACCGGCGAGATTCATTCCTTGGATCGGCGCAGCAGATGCTGTCGCATCAGACATCGTCCCCAGCCACGGTTAGCTTATCGACGACACCAGCGCTTCAATACACACGCTATCGGTTCATAAAGCTCGGCGACGAAACCTCCAGGCAAGAGTCACCGTCTCCATGGCGTCGGCCGGCCACCAAGAGGATGCGTGTCAAGACGGCGAGCGCTGTGCCTCTTCAGCTGTTGCCTCCGAGTCGGATACTGACTACAGTTGGGGCTGGCTCGACTCTGACCCCGGTGACCCAGTTGCCGCAGCTCTATCAAGCAGACAAGCGCGGAACGAAGCTAGCGTAACTACCTCTCTCGATGCGCAGCGGGCGCATGCGTCGGCCGATGAACAGGTCAAACCGCTGCAAATTGCAGGCAGTGGTGTCCAGCCACACGAGAACCAAGGCGACTCCTCAGCTCGGGGGGAAGA